TGTCTTTTTTTGTTTTCCTTGTTCTCATTCATCTGTGTTGCATGTGTTTCAGTTTTGTAGCCTGCCGACCTTTTTGGGGTCATTGTGCAGAGAGGCGTGCTGTGACACAGTAGTGATCCATCTGCATACACAGGACCACGCTGCTTGTTGTGTCAGTGCTAGTTTAATGATGGAGAGCGATCGGTAGTCCACAAAAGCTCGATGTAGGGCCACTTGGTCTGTAGGCAGCGCTTCACTGGAGTGTCATCCGTCCGCACCATGGGGTCCTCAAAACCAAGCACCAAAGCAGTTCCCTCCACGTACTCGACCTGAGAGCGCACATAAATGCAGGTTAATACACAGCAAATATCCCCCCCAACATCTCTTGAATGACCAATTAACCTAACCTCATGCGTGTCTTTGGGCTGAGGGAAGAAGCCAAAGTACTCGGAGAGAGCCCATACAGACATGGAAAATATGCAATCTCTACACAGAAAAGGCCCCTGTTGGGATTTGAACCAAAGACGTTCTTGTTGGGAGACGATGGCGCTAACCGCCCTAAATGCAAACCAGTGTACTACAATTCTGACTGTTCCTCTGAGGGTGTCAGCAGAAGGGATGCGAGTACACAGCAGTCTCACACAGAGACACAGGCACACAGTCAGCAGGCCTGTTATTCCCATTTGGAGCTATAGGAATGGAAATGCCATCACAGCCTGCCTCTTATGTGAGTAGGTGTGCACTTTTGTGTGGGCACACATGGTGCCATTCCTACAATTTCAGGTAGCGGTATGGGAAAAAAATTAGCAATTTTACACACCAGGAAACGTGACAGATGAAGAAACTGATATTTTTGACTGCCAGGTTTGTGCAAAGCCACCAATGGCATCTGCTGATAATCATCCATCAAACTAATCCTGCTTAACAAGCCTGTGTTTGAACATTTATCACAGAAAGCCTGCTGACAGTGGCCTTCGTGTTGAAATGGCTCAGAGAAACGCGAGGCTAAGCCGGGTTTTTTTTTGGATGGACGGACAGGCTATTAGGCTCGCAACAGCTACTGTTTATTTTGGAGTGGCCGGCTGCCACCAGCTGTGTGTATGTGTGCGCATGTATGTATGAATGATGACGGGAAAAGGAGCGGAGGTAATTGGGAGAGAGACAGAGAATATGAAAAGGGAACCAGTGCCATTAGTTAACGTGAAAACCCTGAGTGTCTTACCCTCTCTTTGTGGTTCGACTGTTTAAGACCATTGTAGTGGTAGACGGGAAATGAGTCTGGGATTCCTGAATCCTGAAAAACAGGCACAGAGTGAACGGGGTGAAAAACATGCTGTGTTGTTGAAGACTCTCTGAGCAATCTTTTCTCACTGAGATGGAGGCAGAGGCCTACAGAGGCAGAACCTTTGCCAGCTGAAAAGTCACAAGTCAAACAGTCACATCTCTGGCTGCAACCGAAGCTTAATGTTAAATCCCAGGCGTTAAACAGAAATGCATGCGTAACTCCAAATTACCACAAAACAGCCTATGCTACAAAAAATGATCAAAACAATGACAGAAAACACTTCCAATGACTTTTCTTGAAGGTGCAGAAAGCTAATTGGGTGTGTTTTTTGAGAGCGTGTCCAGCTTCTCGTGTTCATACGGTATATATGAAACTCTAACCCTCGCCCCAATCCCACGTGTGTCTGCATGTGTGTGTGTGTGTGTCCAGTTGGCTAATGGTAGTATAATTTTTTTGCGGCTCGGGGCCATTCTTCTGGCGAGTCCCTAAAGCCCTGATCACTTTAACACAGTTCCCCTCTATCTCCCCCACCTCCACTCTTCCTCACTCGCCCGGCCTCATAAAAGCATCTTACCGCTCTTTCTTAAAACTTCTTGGCAAGCAGCATCATATGATGGTGAGCACACACAGGCAACACATGCATTTCACATGAGACACCACAGGAATGTTATTGGCATAATGCTAAAGCAGCACTCCACATATTCTTTGAAAACAGACCTAAGTGTCACCCATATGTGTTTGGGCACAAGTCCTCCTCCATATGTTTTAACTGTGATATGGATTGTATAACGGATGGAAGGCATTTATCATGCAGGGGCTGTATTGTAGAAGTTGTAGTTGACCTCCATCTTCATGCACACATACACACACACAAGGACACATACCTGATCAGGGAAAAACTCCAACAGGAATGGGCCCAGAAGAATTATGCCCAAGTTCTCTGGATCCAGCTTACTCTTAACCAGAGTCACACTGAGAAGGAAAAGAGAAAATAAAAAAAGAAAAAAAATTGGGAGTAAACATACAGTGAGAAGACGAAAACAGATTTACAGACAAAAACTGACCAAAAAAAAAAAAAAACCCCAGCATAAAATGCCCCAACACAACAGATAAAAACAAGTTTCAGGAGAAAGGAACTATCAGCACAAAGGAAACAAGATTTGTGTATGAAAGCTGATCCAAATTTACAATCACCTCATCACTCAGCGTGGATTCGTGATGCATGTTTTGGGAAAGCGCGTGCATATTTTCGTGAATACTGTGGTACAACTAAATATACCTCTGTCCAGACATTCCTATGTGTTAGATCAGTGTTATTATTATTCCACTGTGATAGAAAAAAAATCTGATCAGATTGCCCTTTTATGGCAGTGAGGAGAAAAGTGAGGAGTATACGCAGACACAGAAGGAAAAGAACGATTATTTCTTCATCTGCCGATTTGTTACCAACTTTACATGCAGCAGGAGCACGCAGAGTAAGACTCAATGTCACTGAGCAACCCTCTGAAATACTAACAGCTTCTAGCTGACCTTCTGCACCTTTTGTATGGAGGAAAGAAGAACATGATGAGAGGAATCAATAAAAAGAAATAAAAATCCCACTATGAAAAAGTTGTTCTGTGTTGATGGGGCTCAGCAGGGTCAGTTGTTTTTGGTGGGTTATATCAGTAAATGCTGCATGACTTACATCACTTAAAAAATGACTGGACGTGAGATTAATCTGCACACACCGAGTATGCCGCAGTAATTTCTTCTCAGATCATGTTTGTTTTTTTAGGAATTGCACAAAGGCAGTAGATTAGCAAGATTGGTAATATTTGATTAAGATTATACCTAAATATTAAAATGTAGACTACTTGAATTGTCCGTCAGTGGATTTCTTGCGCTGGATATGCTGGATTTGCTCAAAACATAGTAAGGGTGCAACAATGCCATCTAAGTGCTTGTAGATTGCAATAAGGAGACTCGTTTATATTCTTCTCACCCTGTAATAATATTTCACCTCACTTTTTTCAGCTGATTACTTAATTTCCAGACATACAGAAAGTGAATTCACATGTTCACCAAAACAGTCTATAAGTACATTTCTATTAGTACTTATAGAATCAAAATCAAATTATATAGAAATGTATCCATGTGTTTAAAATCTCAAGAAATAATCATTTGCCAAACATAACAAAAGTCTTAGAGCTGCTGACTGTCAAAGGTCACAGGATAGATGGAAACAAAAAACTTTCACTGCTCTCAATGACGATGTTTACTTCCTAAAGTCTCGATACTGCTATTAAATACTGATGTAATCAAGATGCTATTTTTAACATAGGAATCCCGGTGAGATCTTGTTGTGTGGTAAGGAATGAGACTCTCCTGTTAGCACTGGGAGTCTCCCGTCAGTTTGCTGTGTTTTGTTGTGATGTATCGGCCATCTGGGGGTCTGTAGACCAGATTATTGGTCCGGTTACTTGGCAAGTCCAGTGACTACAGCATTAGGGCTTACTGTTCCTCAGAGGAGAACGTGCTTCTGTTTGAAGCGGCACTTTAAAGTGTTTCCTCGATCTCTCAGTCTTTCTTCCTGCAGTTAACGATCTCCCCGTAAGCCTCAATTTCTGACTCTTTCTTCCCCAGCCTTTATAGCGGGCTCTCTCTGGTCTTGCTTTATAGCAGCCTGGTAGTGAAACATGAGCAAGGAGGTGCTGACCTGGCCTGCCAGTGACTTTGGAGGTAGAATCTAAGAAGCTCTACAGGTGCCACATGGAGAC